TTTCTGTTTTTTTGTTTTTAACTTTAGTCATCCGATCCGATAATGTGGCCATGAATCATGCATGCCCAAATATCTAAAATTCTGTCCTTCAAATGCTTCCTAACAAATATCAATTGTGATCTTGACACGTGTCAGATTAAGTGGTGAATCTGGTAAACATCCGGATACATCGTACGTCACCGTCTGATTTGCAGTAGATGTGGGTCCTAGCGGCTGAGATTTGGTGAGAGTCATAGCACTTGCATTGTTGATGATAAATGATATTTTTATATTTTTTAAATATTATAAATTAAAATTTGATTATTAAAATTAAGACATAATATCTTATTTTTTGAAAATGATTATAATTAAATATTATATTATTAAAAAATCAGACAAATTAATTAATTAATTAATTAAAATTTATTAAATAATTTAACATAAAATTAAATTAAATGCATATATAATGAAATTTAAATTTAAAATCTTATAATTTTAATCATTAAATTAAGATTGTATTAACAAATATAATATTTTATTAATAAATTATATGAGATTTTAAATTTTAATCATTAGATGAAATTTAAATTAAAAATTCTTAATTTTAAAAATAAATTTTAATATCATTAAATTAAATTTTCATGATGATATTAAATGATATTTTAAATAATTTATAATGTGGATATTATATAAAATTTAATGCAGCAATTAAATGGAAAAATTAAAATAAAATAATTTTAAAAGATTAAAATTTAATGATCCATGATGTTTTTGATGATCATTCACCAATTAGACTCATACTTAATTAAGTTTCAATGTACAATATTGAATTTTTTTTTATTTGGAATCTTTTGATATTTGATAATTATTTTAAATTTTAATTAATTTAAAATTGAGTTAGATCAAATTTTATAAAAAGATAAGTTCTTTCAACATCTATTTTTTTATTCATAAGATTTGAAAACGAAATTTTATTTAAGAAAAATGAAGCTTCTTAGCGACTAACCGACATTCTTGGTGATAGGCACTATTGAATTTTTAAGCCCCAAAGCTTCTTCTAAACACCTTTTATTTTGTTGCTTCCATTTATGTAAAAGACGTACGTGGCTCGTGGACATGGAAAAACCAAACACAACTGAAAATGGCAGGTCGGCATGGGGAAAAAGGAAACGTGTTTCTTGAATTCCATGCATCTCCCTCAATGTCTTAAAAACAATTTTCTAGCAGCTTTTTTTCTCTAAGACATGAAAATGGCAAGTCAGCATGGGAACGTGTTTCTCGAATTCCATACATCTTCCTCACTGCCTTAAAAACAATTTTGTAGCAGCAACAATTCATGTCTGTGATCGGCCATTTCTGTGAAAAAAAAAATGGCCATAATATCGAAGTTCGTATCAAGTTTATTGATGGTGTTTTAGTCGAAGAAAAGCTGATTGAAGATTGAGTAAAAGCGAGTTTAGATCTTTAATTAGAAAATACGGTCAAAAATGACATAATTAATTATTTGAGACATGTTTTGATGTTCATATCAATAAAAATATAAAAATATGATGAAAAAGAAAGTAAGTAAAAAGTACGATAAAAACTTCGGATTCTTAATTTATATGAATTTGACTTTTTTTTATTTTATATATGAGATAAAAAAAATAATATGATTGAAATAATTGATAATTAATATTAAATTTTTATGAAGCTTAAAAAGAGATTTCATGAATGATTATAAATTACATTTAATTATAATAAGAAAGTTCAAAGCTAAGTGTATAGTTTTAAGATAATGTTTTGATGGGACATGAGTGAAGTGATGAATATAACTTTCTTTAATAAGGAGTGACTGAGTTTTATGACGAAAAATCTGAATGTTAACCTTTATTGGTGGTGATATGATAATCGAGCATGTATTGATTAGGCGAAGTTGACCAGATATAACAATTAAACGAGAAATTCAATGATGCATGGATTTCCATTTGGTCTCTGTTTTCTATCTCTTTAAAATGTCGTTTTGACACTGAACTCATATTGCGTTTAAATTTCGTTTTGATGATTTTAGTCATCAGGTTTTGGCCTGGAACGCCAAGTTGACAAGGACATACGCCATGGATCGGGGCCTGGAGCTTCGGTGACCTCAACAGTAGATGTAACTCAAGTACAGGAAAAGCACGGGAAGCAGTTCTCAGACTGGTGTATCTGTGGAACTGGTCAAGAGATTGGCTGATCATGGCTAGTAAATTCAAATTTCTTTAGTCTCCAATGGGCCATGGTTATCCATTGACTCATGGACCTGGTTTCCCTACCATCTTAGCCCATTGTACTTGGTGGACAGATCATTCGAATTGTCTACCACAAATGTGACAATGGAGAAACCTCTGAAATCGAATTCATTCCTTTTGTTTTTTGAACAACTTCTTTCAATTCAAACAACCAAAAGTTGAGTACCAGGGAGGGGCATTGGCGAATCAGGCTCAAGCCAAGTGGTAAATTTTTTTTTTTTTTCATTTTCAAAATTTGAAACCCCAACCAAGTCATAATATTTCAAGTTTAAATTGCTTTGGCGCCAAGTTTTATATCCCTCATGGAAATTGATCCTTAAGAACTCACCTGTCCAATTTGTTTCAATTAAAGCTTGTGTTCAAGACTCCAACTAACCCCATTGTTGCTTGTATCTCAAAGTTCTCAATCTTAAACTTGCGTGTTAAACTTCCAACATTTAGAGCTCATTTGGATTCAATCACACCGGCGTTATAGTGCGATGGAGTAACTTTTTGGTGCAATTGCACCTCAATTGATTGTTTGGATTACACAATTACATTGTAATTATATTTAAACGGTGTAATTGATCGAATTCGAATCGATATAGTATTAAGTTCAAGTTCAAGTTCGATTCTAAATTTGAGTTTTGAAATTCTGTTTGAATTTGATTGAATTTTAATTTTTTAATTCGAACTCGATTTGAACTAAAAATCAAGTCATTTAAACTCACTTGATTAAATTCAATTGACATGTAAAAATAAATTCGATTATTATACTATGCATTGTTTTCAAAAGCAAGTTCAATGTTTTGTTCTTTTACTTGTTTTTTTTTTATCTTTATCAGGCTCCTCTCTTGTCCCCCTGAATCTTCAAATAGAAGCCAGGTAACTAACCCAAAGCGCAAAAGAATTTCAAGATTGAGTAACAATGATAATGTTTTAGTTTTCTCCCCTAAGTCTGAAAGCAAGAAAAAGAAATACAACCCTTTTGGTTATTAAATTTAGAAGAGCTTATTGATAACTCTTTTTTTTTAATTTTTATTTATTTTTAACATCTAATTCTATTTATTTAACTCACTCGAATAAGATGTTATACGTTTAAATCCTTTTGAATGCACAAAATATAAGAGTCCAACTAAAATTTATATTATCTAAACTTATTGTAAGTTGATAGCATAATTTGAGGCAAATCATATATATATATATATATATATAGAACTGTAACAAAATGGTTTAAAAAGTGGGTAATATATACTCGCCTATCATTTCATTCAGTGTGGTGTTACTGTCTGCTTTTTAAAATTTGAAAGACATGTACGAGGAGTTCTGAATTCAAATGTATAGCTATTATACATTTTCTGACAGACTTTAAATCTTCTTACGGACAATCATTTCTACTGGAGCAAGCCATTTCCCTTGTGTAGCCGTAACTGTGCTTCGGTATTAGAGGCAATTTAAAAGATGGAGAGAGATCTTCCCGGATGATTTCACGCCGGTAACTGACTGCTCTTTTACTTTAACTTTATAATGTATTAACTCATTCATCCGAACCCTTTCCCTTGTAAAGAGTTTGGCTACACAAACAGGTTTTAAAATCCCAACACCAACCTGGAGGATTTTGACCAGAGATTTTCATTGCTGTCAATCAAATACAAGCCCTTTCCAGATTGTGAAGTTGACTCATTTAGAAGTTCACATCTGATTGAATGATTGTTCCACAGAAGTGGTTTTTTTTAGCTTAATTTAGGTTTTATCGTATTTTTAGTATGGTATGATCAAATTTATCATAATATTAGTTAACTTTAAATGTTTATTTCAATGAAATTTATTTAATAAAAAATTTTTTTATTATTTTTTTCAATCGTAAATATAATAATTTTTATTAATATTTTCAATCTTACCATTCATTTAAATAAACTTGATATAAGATACCAAATTGGCATCATGTCTTAAGTACGATGAAATCCTCCTGTTTTATCACCTTCTGGTTTCTTTAAAAATATACATGATGTAGAAATGGTTACCATTTCACAGAATGCACAAACAATAGTAACCAAATCGTTAAGTCAATCTATTTTGCCATCTGCTATATGCGAGTTTTAGATCTTTGTTTCTGATCATTTGTGTATAGGAAACTCGGGTTGTTTGAGATTAAGTCATTTTGGATTTAAATTGTTAATTTTTAAAATCAAATCAATTTAAATTTATATCATTTTAGATTAGTTTTTAAATTTTTAAATTTTGAGTTATTATAAGTAAATGTGTAAATGATATATCAATTCTCGTGAGGTATTTGAGTTCGACTTGAATAAAATGTAAATTTAGTTTAATTATTGTCGAATTAAGCTCCAATTCAAATAATTTGATTTATTGAATGAGCCTATATTAAATATTTTAATATTTGATTCGAATAATTTACGAACTTAATCAAATTTTTATATTTTAATATATATTTTTTATTTTAATTAAAAAATTATTATTTTATCTTTATATATATAAATTAAAATTCGAGTTCAAATACAAATAATCAAGGTTAAAGTCAAACATGAGAATCAAACTTTTTTTTTATTTGATAAATAAATTTAATCAAGTGAGTTCAAAGAATTCATTCCAATTTAAACTTTAAAATTTAATTGAATTCAAATTAAGTTTTAAACAATAAATTTCAAGTCAAGTTTGAGTTCAAATTTCAACATTTTGAGATTGATAAAAAAAAAAAAAGGGAGTGTGGGCCTGGGTTTATGATTCACGTAATGACGACATTCAAATCCACCAAGGTAGACAACAACCTAAACTATTTTGCCGGGGCCCAATCAAAGTAGATAACCTTTGAGTCAATTTCCAGAGGCCCAATCAAAGCAGACAACAGCCTTCGAACCTGTTTTCCCTCAAGCCCGTAACAAACTGTTCCACAGCCACAGAAAAAACTTCCCACCAGCAAAATCAAAACCATCTTTCGCAAGCACTCTTTCACAGCTCCTGTCGTCACCCACATCACCGCCGTCAATGGTGCTTTCTGCTTTAATTCTGCTTCCCTTCCTTCTCCTCCTACTCTACTTCATAGTCCGTCCTCGTCCCGTGAACATCCCAATCAAAAACCGCTACGTGTTCATAACAGGGGGGGTCAAGCGGCATCGGGCTAGCCTTAGCCCATCAGGCGGCTTCCCAGGGAGCCCGAGTATCCCTCTTAGCTCGCTCTCTTACCAAACTCGAAGAAGCGAAAAAATCGATTCGCCTTTCCTCCGGAGTCGACGTTTCGATCTTTTCTGCTGATGTTCGTGACTACAACGCCGTTCAGAGGGCGGTTAACGATGCGGGACCCATCGATGTTTTGGTGGTTAACCAGGGAGTTTTTGTGCCTCAGGAGCTGGAGAAGCAGGAATTGGATGAGGTCAGGTTTATGATAGATGTGAATTTGATAGGGAGTTTTAATGTCATCAAAGCTGCCTTGCCGTTGATGAAGGTGAGGAAGGATCGTGAACCTACCTCCATCGCTCTTATCTCTTCCCAAGCTGGTCAGGTCAGTGGTCAAATCATTGAGTATTAGTTAGCATTTGTTTTGTAATAAGCATTTTGGAACTGACTAATCATCAGAAGTAATAATCTTTGTTGTTTAGTTGCAATTGAACTTTGTATTATGGATATGTAGGTGGGAATTTATGGTTACACAGCGTACTCCGCCAGTAAATTTGGGCTCCGTGGATTAGCAGAAGCATTGCAACAGGAGGTTATTGCAGATAATGTCCATGTCTCTGTTATATTCCCACCAGATATCGAGACCCCTGGTTTTGAGCAAGGTTTGAGACCCATTTCTTTGAACCTTAAACTGCATCAAGTTGCATTGCTTGTTGGTAACCTGTGTTTACTAGTAATCAGCCGGCTGCGTTTTGTAAAGCTGTGAGATGTCATCGTTCTCCGTTATAATTAATCAGTTCAAATTATTATGGATGTGAAGAATAATGAGATTAACAGCTTTTGACCACTTGTAGAACATGATTGTAGCTATCAATCTAAATAGACATGGAGAAGTTCACTCGGATGGTAGTTATTCATTGATTCTAATGCAATCAAAGGGCTGGAAACATATTTGAAATGGGAATCATTGACAAATTAGAGTACCTCAACTTCTGTTTTCCTACATCCAATTGTGTTTCTCAATAGTAAATTAGAGTATGAGATAACCATATGCTATAACTCATTGTATTTTGTAACAAGCATTTGCATTTATTTACTAAAGGCTGAACTTCTGCAGAAAATAAAGTTAGACCTGAGCTCACTAATATTCTAGCAGCCTCCTCTGGTTTAATGAAAGCTGATGAAGTTGCCAAGAAAGCTTTAGATGGCATCAAATCTGGAAGTTTCGTTGTCCCTTGCAACTTTGAGGGGCACATTCTCGCTATAGCGACTGCCGGTTTGTCCCCTCAAAGATCTTTCTGGATGGCATCCATTGAGGTGGTTTTTGCTGGTTTATTTCGTCTTATAGGTTTATTTTTCCAATGGAACTGGTATGGGAGCATAGAAAAGTGGCATGCAAAGAAAAATGGTTAGTATGCAATATTATTTTTTGAAGTTGTTTCTCTCATGTCAAGTTGAACAGTCAAGAACTTGAGATTAGATTAATTTCAAGGGATAACATTTTTAGTTTTAATTAAAGTTTTTAGATTGTTGCTCTTAGGAACTGTGGCTGTGAGAATATTGTGTTTGACTCTTATTTATCAATTATTGATGAAGTTAAAATTTTGACATTTCCGCTTCATTCAAGAATTAGGAATTTGCATGAATGATGCTTCATAGAGGTTTTCTTCTCTCTGTTTCATTATTAAAATGCTTATGGTTGGTAGCAATTTAAACTACAGCCTTGTGTTTAGACTATTTTAATCTGGTAGATAGTTTTATTTTCAAGTGAGATTCTTTGCCTAAACTTAAAATGATAGTTTTCCCCTTCCAAATCCTGAGAACTAAAAAAGTAAGATTGTTAGTGTTATATTTATCAGCAGGGGTATCTGCTTATTGATAGAAGGTAAAGACTATTACAAATCAGAATACAAATCACACTTCCTCTAAGCATACCATGTTTGTTTTACCTAGGAAAATTGGAATTTAAGTGTTTAGTGTTGAAGTCATGGGGAATATGAGCCTTCCTTTGGAAAAAGGTGTAATGCCTGATTGTATTGTTCAATACTCTTTTTGTGGGAGCATATCACCTATAACAATTGTACTACAATTAACCATTTAGATTTTAGAGTTATGTAGGGTCTACCAAAATGTTATATGGAGTCCACTCTTACAAGTGGTAGACCCTCACATAATTCTTGATTGTTATCGGACAATTATAGCATTATAGTAAAAAGAATTGTAGTTGAAATGCTCCCTCTTTTTGTTCATGATTATTACACCTTTTATTGTGTCAAAACTGTAAGTAGTAATATGTCATAATAAAATGTTTTCTATTTGTGTTCTTGATTTCAGAGACATAGAATTCCCTGGTGCTTGTTATGGATCAGTGTTCCTTCCGGCATCCGTTGCTTACTTCTAAGATCTCATGGATATGGATCTTTGACTAATAACTAGTTTCAGCATTCAACATTCAGGAACTGAAGTTCTCCCAAACTCTCCATCTATGTTTCTGCACATTGCAACCAATGCCATGTTGAATAGATCAGAGACCTTAATTGTTTCAATCCGACTTTCGAATTGGCTATTGCTGAATTAGCTATTGCTAGAAGTGAAATGTAGCCAAAATTTGAAAAAGCGAATAGCTACAACCATTATTCATTGGATTACATTGGAAAGTTATAGTGTGTTTCAGAACTTGTCACCCGAATCTTGAGATGTATCTTGTTTCCAAATATTACAGGCTTTTAGTCAAGACTTCAAGAGAACTGTCTTGTACCTCAAATAAACAATTATAGGCTATTTGCTCTTTATGTCACCCATATTTAATCACAGCAACCATGGTTATTCTTGTAGTACAAGTATGCTTCTTGGCCGAGACGAAACATAAAATGGGAAAGTAAGATCAAAAGTTAGGACATAGTTTCTTAACAGTTTGCTGAATCTGGTTTTGTGTTTTGTCAATTTGATCCAACTTCGACGCTGAGACAGCTTTTCCTGGGGACAACACGCGTTAAGACACTATGCTCTTCAGAAGTCATGGGTTAACAAAATCTTGCAAAATTTTGATCTCTAGCGCCCATCACTTGTATTTATAACCAGAAAACTCTCTGAAAGTAAAGGTTTGAGTTTTCTAATGTCAGAGTTTCGGTGGGATAGAAATTGGTAAAGCCAGGGCACGAGATGGGACCAAAAAGAATTTGAAAAGAAGTTTCTGATGGAATATGAGGATGATCTTCTGCGATCTTGCAGGATGGGATGATCTTCTGCTATCATGCAGGATGGGATGATCTTCTGCTATCATGCAGGATGGGATGTTGGATTTGAAGGATTCAATAACCAATTATGAAACGTAAATTGGGTCGAACAAAGGACTGGAATATCAAAATGCCATGATTCACAATGAAACAGGGTAATATCATATTGGTTTACTTTGCAATTGATAGTTCTTTTAGCCTCTTTTTGTTTAGAATTTGAGGGTGTACCTGGCTGCGATGATGCAGCCAGACTTTATAGCAGTACATATGTATTTTGTAACTTGGTAAATGGTATTGGTACTTGGTAGTCATAAAAATGTATGCCGGTGCATGTGCATGCTTCTCCTTTCTGTTTTTATGAGGAAGCTACATGAATTTGTCAGCATCGAAGGAGATAAAAGGAGGTGTCTTCATCATCCATGTTTCCTCTCGGAATGTTGATCAGTCTCTATGTTTGTAGTTGGTTTGCAAGTTGCAACAGCTCTGGTGTGAAAATGATGGCAAATTTAGTTGTTTTGGGACACATTTTTTGAGAAAGATGGATAGAGGTAGAGAGTTATGGGAAAAAAAAAACAATGAGGTACAAGAAAAACAGTGAAGCAAAGCAACCAAATTCCCCTTTTTGTTTCAAAATGTCTTGTTCTATAGGTAAATTTTTTCCATTCTGTTCAAGTAATGTACCCTGGAGTGGATAGTGGATACCTTGTGGCCTTTTGGGGTGGGAAAACCTGGAAGGGGTGGCCAGTGGCCTCTAGTTGGTGGGTCATGTCCGTACGTAAAACAAAAGCATACTTTGAAATTAGAATGTGAGGCCCATTTCTTAGGACACATGCACCTTAACTGTGCCTGCGGGCCCACAAAAAGGAAAATAAGAATGCCACTAGGCAGGTAAAGGTATAGGACAGAATAGGAGACAAACTGCAAATAGTCCAAACCCTGTGGAAGATTAGGGGCCTACAACAAGGTTACTTTTCTTGCACTTTTGGAAACCTTTGGCCCTTTAATATGTGCATGCAGGGTAGGTTGGCACCTACAGGAATTGATGCTCTTGAAATCAAAGTTGATTTCCGCCTTCATTCAAAGTTTAAGTCACCAAGAGCTTCTGTCATTCTTCTATTCAATGCATGAACCGACACTAGGGCTAGCCCTAAACCTTTTCTTTTTCATAAATATATCTATCCATAGTCAAAACAATTGGATCACAAATTTTTATTATAACCATCAAACTTAAGAGTCTGCAGTAAATGCATATGGGTTTACATTTCAAAATCGTGCTGGTGGGATTTAGGTGGGGGATGGATTGAGGCAAAGCATTTTTGTCTTTGCAGCAGCTCTATCAGATTCAGTAATGGTCCCTTTTAAATCCTTAGCTGTTTAATCTTGTTTATTTGCCTTGCCCTTGGAAACTAAACTGTCTTATATGCACAAGATGCTAAGTTTTCACTGATATAGTAGTAGCATTATCTTTACCTAAAAATAAGATTTCACTTTTCTAATTATTGACTGTCTTTGTCTGTCTGTCATGGGATGGAATCTTACTTTCTAGATTGCCAAGTGGTTAACATTTCAATCATCTCTTAGCCAAATTCATCATTGGGTCCCATGAAAATCAGAACATTATAACACAAAGCTGGCTCATCTTTAAACTGATGAGAAGATATTTGCAATGATGTTTATGAACTAGGATGGCTTGAATGAGTCAGATGCCATATCCAAATATGTAAATTCCAAGCCAGCTGCATTGGCATTTGACCCCCCACCCCCAGCCAACATACCTCTTTGTCTGTTTCACTTTTAATGGGGCGTGAATGGAATTACTTCCCCACAAACATGCAAATGTTCTCAAAACACTCATATAAACATAAAAATGATCAGTTGTGAAGTGGGACTCTGGGTGTTTGGTGATTCAAAGCAAGGGCAGTTGCTCGTGGTTAAGGTGTTTATAGTGATCATATGCATGGGATTCCAAAGATAATTGTAAACTTAGCAACGTGGTCTTGCCTTCAAAACAGGCTGTCCAAAGGGCAAGGGGCCCCAGGATTAGAGGGTGCAATGCTTTTAGTAACAATCCGAGTTCCAATGGTGATGTCTGCTGATTTTTCCCATTAAGCTCCTTTGGTTTAGCTTAATATTAGATGTTCTTACTAATTTTAGTTGGTGAAAGGACATTGAAATTGCTTGATCCTTTTGCCATATTTGATGATACCCTACTCCTAAACAAGGACAGAAAAATTCAACTTCATATTTCGCATATGATTTCCTTATGATGACTATTGAATATTACTTGTAAGATTGACGAACATCTTCACTCAAACCTGTTGGAATATTTGATCAAGACTCTTCTAAATTTGTGTACAATTTTCTTATAATAGATCTCATATATGCAGTAGGAGTTTGCATGAGAAATAAATGAAAGATTATAGTGGTATTGTATAACATTGGCCCTAGGCCGGAGAGCTAAAACTAGAGGCCATTTTCAGTCCCAAAAAGAGTACAAAACCAGAGCCAAATCTGTTACACTCACACCAGAAGAGGACACATCCAAAAAAAAAAAAACCCCATGTGATGGCATTTTTATAGGTATACCAAAACTCCAAGGTCATTTACAATCATTCCCAGCAGCAAAAACTGCACAAATAAACTACTTTTAAGTTTTACAGTATTCTCTCTCCATCTCTGCATTTCTTAAGCAATCTTTCTCTGGTTTCATGTGACATATCCCTTCTTAGCTTTGTCCTTCTCCAACAAAAACAAAGACCTCCATATTAATTCACCTCTCTCTCTCTCTCTCTCTCTTTCTCTTAATTGCCTTATCAGTTATCATTGATTGCTTCTCTCTTTTGTACGGCACTTTTCAACCACCACCTTCCATTTATTGCAGCCAAGCCAGCAGGCCAGGCAGAAGCAGTCAACTTCTATTTAATATCTTACTTGCTTAAATGATACAAGTTACAATTACGGAAGCTTAGCCAAAGTATATTAAAATTATCACTTGCATTTCTATCTTCAGGTAACCTTTTTTTAACCTTGTTTTGGTTTCTGGGTTGTTGTTTATTTTCCTAGAAAGTAGCTAGAGAGAAAGACATGTTCATTGGATCATGAAAGTTGCTTGTTTGTTAATGTTCTCTTTGTTTCTCTCCATTGGGTTTCTTTCTTTTTTAACTGAAGTTAGTTAAAGTGTTGAACTTTTTCTTGGGAAAAACACCATTTTTGATGTTCCCAAGTAAGATTTTTTCTTTCTTTTTTTCCTCCAGCATTTCAGCTTTTTATGCTTTTGAGTGTCCTCTTGGATTTGTACAAGTGTGAATTACCGTCAAGAGACTTGTCTTAGCACATGACTAGGATTTGCAGTTCTCTACTCCAGTGAAATTTCTCTTCTTGGGTTACGTTGTAATTAAAGGTTCAACCTTCAGGTAAGGCATTGATATGAAGCTTCCTTTTGCTAGGTACGTTTCAGTTTCTTCTGAATTTAACATTCCTGCTTTTATTCTAGGGCTTATATTCACCTCTTAAGACATCTGGCTTCACAATCTTGTTCAATGGGATACTTTAACATGTTTGTTCTAGTATTGTTTTCATGGAGTTGCTTTATCCAAACTACTCATGGATTGCAAACTTATCAAATCCAACTTCTGCTGCAAATAAGGAAGCATTTAGAGTATCCTTCACAGCTGCAAGCTCTGGATAATTACTATGGGGACCTCTGTAACTTGTCTGCGACAGCACATGTGATGATATCTTGCCAGGATAATTTTGTCACTGAGCTTAAGATTAGGGGAGATAAGCTTGCCAATATTAGTGGGTTCAATGGATATGCAATTCCTAATAAAACATTGTCTGAGACTTTCTCCATTGATTCTTTGGTTATCACATTGACAAGGTTAACCAGTTTAAGGGTGCTTAGCTTAGTGTCTCTTGGAATTTGGGGGCCACTTCCTGATAAGATTCATAGGCTATATTCTCTAGAACTTTTGGACTTAAGCTCCAATTTGATGTATGGCTCTATCCCCCCTCAGATATCTAGAATGGTTAAGCTTCAAACTCTAACATTGGATGGCAATTACTTCAATGATACTATTCCTGATAATCTGGATTCCCTATCAAATCTTACTGTTCTGAGTTTGAGGGGCAACCGGTTGAAGGGTCAGTTTCCTTCTTCAATATGCAGAATTTCAAGCCTAACAGATATTGCCTTGTGCCACAATAAGCTTTCGGGTAAATTGCCTGATTTGAGTTCCTTAACTAGCCTGCGTGTGTTGGATTTAAGAGAGAACCAGTTGGATTCCAAACTGCCTGTCATGCCCCAAGGACTGGTTACTGCTCTTCTTGCTAAGAACTTATTCTCAGGTGAAATTCCTGGGCAATTTGGCACATTGAGTCATCTTCAGCACCTTGACTTATCTTTTAATCATCTGACTGGAACACCCCCCTCTGCCTTGTTTGATTTGCAAAGCATCAGTTATTTGAATTTGGCATCAAATACGCTCAGTGGTTCACTTCCAGAGCGTCTAACTTGTGGTAGCAAACTCGGGTTTGTGGATATTTCTAATAACAAGTTGGTTGGTGAGCTTCCTTCTTGCTTGGACGATAAATCAGATAAGAGAGTAGTCAAATTTGGTAGGAATTGCTTGTCAATTGATGGCCAACAGCAACATCAAGGTTCACATTGTAAAGAAGCAAACACGAGGAAAAGTGGAAGAAAGATAGCAGTATTAGTTGCTGCTATTGTAGGATCTGTTCTTCTTCTGGTCCTTTTGGCATTTGGCTTTCTTATTCTGTCTCGAAGATGCTTCCCAAGGAGGACTTTTGAAACTCGTATTTGGCAAAAGGCTGTTCAAGACAGTCCAACTAACGGGGTTTCATCTGAAGTTCTTGCAAATGCCGGTAAGCAAATACATTTCTTTTGTTGCTTCTGTTATCCCAAATGCATCCAAGATATGTTTGTACTTAATAAAGGTCAAGTTCATCATGATTTCTAACCCAGTTATAGTGCTTCAAAGGGAAATTTGAGTTATTATTAATGTAATTGTTAATTATTTGATTTCATTTTTTTAGGATTCATTTCTAAAGTTGTGAAGCTAGGGGTACAAGGTGCTCCAGTATGTCGACTGTTTTCCTTGGAAGAGTTGAAGGAAGCCACAAATAGCTTTGATTCATCAATGTTAATGGGTGAAAGCTCTACTGGGAAGGTATCCTCAAAACTGAAGAATTTATCAACCTTTGATGATTTTGTTTCGTCAGTAAAAGTGAAATCAGATCTTAGAATTATCATTACACAATGGTAATAATCATCCCACTCTTTTTTATCAATCAAGTATTGTGCAGAACTATGAATTTTGAGAGGGAAAAGTTTACTAGCTTGGAAATTTTATTATCACCATATAGATTTGTTCTTTCATTTTCTTTTCTGAAGCTTGGCACCAAGAAAATAGCTTGCTGGAGCTAAGATTTACTAAACAATTATACCCCTTATATAAATCCATGAGGTTTAGCCCTCCTCAGTGAGCAGAATAGGTGTGGCAAATACACGGTTCCGATATTCGTATATGCTATCACCAAAGACCTTTCTGACTTCATTTATTTCTCTTTTTCAGCTATACAAAGGAAGATTGGAAAATGGGACCTATGTTGCCATTCGATCTTTGACATTACTGAAGAAATATTCAAGTCAAAATCTTAAAGTTAGGCTTGATTTCTTCTCAAAGCTTCACCATCCACATTTAGTAGGCCTTTTGGGTCACTGCATTGATGGTGGTGTACAAGATGATTCCAGTGCAAACAAAGTCTTCCTCGTATACGACTATATGAGTAATGGGAATTATCGTATGCATCTGTCAGGTCAGTGTTGAAAATTTGAACATAAAGTTATGTTTGTACATGATGAGTGCACAGCTATAAATGTAGGTAAGTGTCCAAGCTTAGATATTGCAATATTGGAAGAAATGGCTATTAATGTCTTTGACATTATGTGGAAAAAAGTACAAGCATGTATGATCCTTCCTGATTGACCTGTACACACTCACTGCTAACCATATTCTAATATTTAATGTCTGCTGGATTCTGACAACAACAATCCGGAAAAATGATGCAGAAAATTGTCCAGAGAAGGTTCTCAAGTGGTCTGATAGATTAGCAATTCTAATTGATATGGCCAAGGCTGTAAACTTTCTACATACTGGGGTTATTCCTGGTGTTTATAATAACCAGTTGAAGACAAATAATATATTGCTGGATGAGCATCACATAGCAAAGCTGAGTGACTATGGGATGTCTATCATCATGGAAGAAAATGAAAAACTAGAGGTATGTTTCCTAGCTGTTTATATTTACCTTGTTACTTGGAAAATATATCATGGCCCTGAGTGGTTATTCTGAAGTATTTTATTATTCTGCAGGCAAAGGGAGAGGGCTTAAAGTCTAGGTACTGTCTAGAACCAATTGTCAACAGATTATCCGAAGTTTTAGCTTGCAACTATATTCATGAGATTAGGATTGGAATGCCATCTTAATGCATCTTTATGTAAATAATAGACTTGCATCATTAACAAAAATTATAGTAGATGGAAAAACATCATTTGATAATAATTCAGTTGTCTTTGCATAAGTAGTTCCTTTCCACTACGGCAATTGCTGCAATTGACATGGTTTCCATCACAATGAACAAAGCTATACCAACTTGATGACCTCTGGACCAACAACTCTTCTGTTAATTCCAGTATGCATCATCATATGCTTGTAGCTACTCCCTCCTTAAACATTCTCTTATGCATGTACCATCTACTAAACATATTTTGCAATTGCTGTCAAACCAGTCTGCGCAATTATTTTTTATCAATGATTTCAACTGTCTCATCTTTTCTTTTGTAGCACCAATGCTGCTTTGTTGCCTCTATTCCATTTCTAAGATTACAGTTCCACAACTAGCAGAATCATCTAGCATGCATTTGATCAATCAATAATAATTTGACAGTAACATGTTTATGTAAATTGAGGATAAATAAGAAACTTGCTGTCTAAACCGACAACATATCGAAAATTTTGGTTTTCCTGTTGGATCGCTTTTAGACTTTCTTGCGGATTGTTGTTTATATAACCAAACCCCTTTTATTCTTTATTGCAGCCAAAGTAAAAATTTGGAGGATGATGTTTACGACTTTGGATTTATATTACTTGAGTCTCTTGTTGGGCCTATAGTGAATGGAAAAGGAGAAACATTTCTTTTGAATGAAATGGTAAGCCACTGATTTTTCTCTGATGACTTCCATTTAACACAATATTATGACAATGACCATGGCTAGTCAAATGCAGTCAAGAGTTAAGTTCTGGAAGGATTATATTAGATATGAAATGTTAAGAAAATCTTGCTTTCCATTTTTTCTTAAAAGTTCGAGAAAGGCATACTTCTAAAATCTTGCATTACAAATCACAGGGATCGTTTGACAGCCAGGATGGCCGAAAGCAAATTGTGGATCCAACTGTGTTAACCACTTGCTCACAGGAATCATTATCAATAGTGGTATCTATTACAGGCAAATGCATATGTCCTGAACCATCATCTCGGCCATCTTTCGAGGATGTTCTTTGGAACTTGCGGTATGCAGCTCAAGTTCAGGCTGCAGCCGATGCTGATCAGAATTCAGAAGTCTGATTCTACATGGTTATCATTTGTATATGGTTGGTGCTACACCTGCGGACATTGCTTAGATAAAGCTCTTGGAAGGTGCTTTAGTGTATAAAACGAGTTAGGTCTATATTGAGCAGCAATTCCTGAGAAATATAATCCGTAAATGACATAATTTTAGACCTGATAAATGGAAAATTTTTGGTAAAATAAATTTTTCTTTGAGATTGAAGTACTTCCAATCATTACAAGCAACTGCAATATCGAAAAGCTTCTGTGATTTAATCTTCTTGCCTTGGAAGGATCTTCAAATACATCCTAGCAGAACCAGAAAGCCGTTCATCACGATCATTGTGCTTCATTGCTTTCAAATTCAGGTAAAAGTTCTCAGGCTTTGGTTTCTGGTAGGTCTATCATTGTCTGCAACGCAATGGCTTGCCATTCCTGGTTGAAAACTATACATGCTTTTACAAGCTTGAAGCTGCTTAGGATACCCAACAATCATTACCAAAAAGCAAAGCTTTTAAAAGCTAGTTTGGTCATCAGAATGTCATTTTTCTTCTTTAACTCAAATTCTTGACACAAGTAGCAAATAAAACTCAATTGAATGTCACATTTTTATGTTTATCCACAGCCTCCCCTTAAGGCCCCCATTTCTTTCATGCAGAAAAAGGGGTAAAACAGACCTGTTTCTAGTGGCAAAAGCCCATCAGAAGTAGTAGGATACTGTTCAGACTTTGAAACCCACCATTGTTTTGGTTGATAGCTGTTATTGCGAGCGGTCAGGTTAGCCATCCGAATCTTATAATAGAATTGGTAGGTGTAACGTCCTGAATCTCATATTAAAATAATATACGTATAAGGAATGATATTACATAAAATCTAAATTTAAATTTGCAAGAAAATTTTTGTAGGATAAAATTGTGAGACCTTCGATTATAAATTGAGTGTAGATTTTCACAAATAAACAAAACTATGAGATCAAAATGGATAATACATCGTAAGTTAGGTACAAGTCTTCATAAATAATATTAGAGCGGTTACAAATCGGAGGCGGAAACTAAATACCACACGATGAGGTCATGAAAATTACTAAATCTTACATGGTGAGGAATACCTCTAAAATCTCATCATCTAGGGAGTCACCTCTAAAATTTCATTATCTGGGGAGTCATATATAAAATTTCATTGTCTAATGTGATTTTAGTTTTGTGATTCAACTCAGCTTGATATGAATGTTAAGCTTTAAAACGAATAATATTTTACAGATTTGATGCTAGTCTCTACAGTAAAAAGGGAGTCAAATCCTACCTAAAATATATGGCCAAATTCAAACTATTATTAATATAAATGCAACTATATTCTACTTACATAAAGAATTTAATATCTTAAATTTTGGTTTGATAATTTTAGATATGAGTTTGATAATTTTAAATATGACATGATAATACAATACAAAAATAACACGTAATAAATTATGCATGCGTTTTCTATAATCATGTTTTGTGTCTTACTTGTGTTACACGTTTAAAACATGACTAATTAATTAATCATGTTTTTTTGTATTATCGTATCAACATGTATAAATGATACATTTACAACTCGGATATAATCGTGTTTTAATATTTTTATTATATTTTCATTATGATTTAATGTTAAATTATTGATTAGATATTTTAATAATGATTGTGTTTAATCATGTTAATCATATATAATCGTATTAATCATATCATGTAGTATTTTTTATTTTTAAAATAAATTAAAACATATTAATCATGTCGTCTAGCATGTAACACATATAAATATTTGTGTCATATTTTTATAGAAGTCGTTCGTGTTATGTTTGAAATCGTATCTGACACGAAATACGACACAATGACATAAATTATTAAATTTGTTTAAATTATATACTACTAAAAAATAAATATTAGTATTATTTTTTTGAAATAACGTGTTATTATTATTATTATTATTATTATTATATCAAAATAAAAATTTAATAATTAAAATTAAAAATTTAACAATTTATTAATGGACTAAATGACTATTAACATATTTACTTTTGGTGAAGGTGTTTGTTGGCTTTGAATTAAGTCTATTTTTCTTGTGGAGCAAATAAGTAACAAACTACAAATTACAATTTGATTACAAGATTGGGTTTGTTGCATGGTTCAAAACCATAATCTCCTTCCAATTTTAGCATGTAAAATTTAAAATCATTAATTATTTTTCATGTTATCTTACAATCAAATTTATTTTTCATGCTATTTATAATAAAACTATTATTTTATACATTTATCATGAAATTTTTAAACTTTACAATTATTACAATATTGTCTTGTGTTCTGTTATTTATTATATTCATTGATTACCCTTTCTCTCTCTCTCCTTTAATGTTTGTCTTTTATTAATTTTTGGGTAAAATGAACTTAATTTTGATCGTTATTTTTAATAAATTTATAAAACTTTTAAAATATAAAAATTGAAAAGTTTGAATTTCATATTTTTCAAAGCATATTTTTTAAAATTTAATTCAATAAATGATAAAAAATGACAAATAAAATGTGACAAAAGGAATAATTATTTTTTAATGGTGTATAAAATAAAATAAAATATTTATTTGTATTTAACAAATTCCTTTGTTAAAAATTTAATGGATAAAAAGGATAATGGGCTTGACTAGCCCCATTGATTGAATCCCAAAAAAGCGTGGAATTCACTTCTCTGGGGTGCGCGTGTTATTGACTGAAAGTGAAAAAACAACGGTATAATGTTGGCGGAAGGAGATAACCGACAGAGAACGAAACACATTTCAACACTTGTTTCATTTAATCCCACGCGCAATCAGAAAGAGTGACGTTAACCACACATAATCTAGCCGAGAGTCTCCTTCACTTTCCTTTTACGAGCGTGCTAAAATCTCTTCTTACAAATAATCATGTCTTAGCAAAACAAATCATTATTTCTATTTTTATCAGGCATTATTATTATTATTGTTATTATTATTATTATTGCTTTCTTATTCGGTCAGACAGAGCCAGCCAGCCTCTGCACCTCCGAAAAGCCTTGAATGTCTCAGCCTCTTTCATTCTTCTTCCATGGAAACCACCCTAAAACGCAGCTTTTTAGCTTTCCCATTTCTTCAGTTCTTCTTCCTCTAATTTTCGTGGTAATTTCTTGCCACATTCAGTGTACCCAAAGTGAGAAATTGGTTGCTTTTCTCAGTTTCCTATTGTTCTCCTCTTTTGGGCTAATTTTTATCTTTGCATGGTAAAGATTGTATTTTTCTCAGCCAATTTGAGCTAAAAATTTAACATTTGTCAGCATATTTTGTTTATAGGAGTTGGATCTGATGCTCAAGAATAATAATGTTTCAATTTAGTAACATTTTTTTTTTATTAGCTAACTTTTAATGAGCTTCAAAGTTTCTATTTTTAGTTGCACTTGTATGTGTGTGAATGTTTATTCCATGAATGAGCTCCAAGTTTCTTTGTCAATTTCAATGCTTTAATTCTTTTTTTTTTTGTGGAGCTGTGATTATAAGCTATTTTTGTTTTTCTTTTTTCATTGTTTCTTCCTTTTTTATGTTAATGATGTCTGCCTTAGTGGCTTAGCCTTGGAGTGAAACTATTATTTGTTGCTTTCTCTTTCTTTTTGTTTTTGTTCTTTTGGAAGCTACATGCCTCTATGTTTGCTTGTCGAGAAAAAGCAGGAAAAATGAAGGAAAAAGAATTTGCCTTTAATTTGTCCGGGGATTTACAAATTAGTCTTGTCAAGTTGGGTTGGTGGTAGTTTCCCTTTTGCTTGATCCTTTTTTATGTTAATGATATCTGCCTTAGTGACTTAGCCTTGGAGTGCAACTATTATTTGTTACTTTCTCTTTCCTTTTTTTTTTTTGTTCTTTTGGACGCTACATGCCCCTATGTTTGGCTGTTAAGAAAATGCTGGAAAATGAAGGAAAAATAATTTGCCTTTAATATGTTTGAGGATTTACAAATTAGTCTTGTTAAGTTGAGTTGGTGGTAGTTTCCCTTTTGCCTGACCCTTCATGGTAAAATGCATTAGGATTTTGGATTATAAGCTTGGTTTTAACTAGTTGTGCATTTATTTCTTGATGCAAAGTTTCTCTACTAATATTATAATGCTTTCTGAATTGTAGGAATTGAACTGTCTTGTGGATTGAATAGTTTAACACTAGTGAAATACGAGTTTGTGCAACAATGGTTCTTGGTTTGAATGCAAAGAACCGGAGAAGGTCAACGGTTCATGTTGATTATCTAATTCACATTCAGGAGATTAAACCTTGGCCCCCATCTCAGTCACTGAGATCACTTCGTTCTGTCCTGATCCAGTGGGAAAATGGTGAACGTAGTTCGGGGTCTACCAACACGGTTTCCCCCACACTTGGTTCCATTGTTGGTGAGGGAAAAATTGAGTTTAATCAGTCATTTAAGTTACCTGTGAATCTAGTGAGGGACATGTCTGTTAAAGGCAGGGATGCTGATGCGTTCCTGAAGAATATCTTAGAATTTAACTTGTATGAGCCTCGAAGGGAAAAGATTCAGTTGTTGGCTACTGCCATTGTGGATTTGGCGGAATATGCTGTTATAAAGGAGACATTAGATGTTACTGTTCCGATGAACAGCAAGATGAGCTTCAGTAACACTGCCCAACCAGTTTTGTTTATTAAAATTGATCGAACTTATAAGGGTCGGAACAGCTCTTCACCAAGAGGCTGCCTTTCAAAAGAGCTATCGCTGGACAGAAAAGGAAGTGAGTCTGTTTCTGCTCTGATGGATGAAGAATATGCTGAGGAAGCGGAGGTTGCTTCATTCACTGATGATGATGTTTCCTCACACTCATCTCTGACTGTTTCTTCTTCAACTTTGGAATCTAATGGAAGTTCATTTCCTCAAAATGAAGAGGTAACTTTTAGTTATTTCCTTTATGATCTTCAAATGGGGTTAATTACTTTTTCTTTCTCTTTTCTTTGTTGTGGCATTTGTTTAAAAAATGCTGGAAAATTTCTATCTGACACAGAATTAGGCATAATGAACCTTTTTCATTGCATCTTGTTGCGGATGGAACCAACATCTATATCTGCCCTTAGATCATGATGCTGATGTTTTGGGGCATGGTCTTATGGTCAGTCCAATGGGATGCCTCATTTTTCTTTGATAAG